AGGGGGTCGGGGGGAGAGCCACCGCTCCATTATGAGTCATAATCACACCCCCCGCAACCTCAGCCACCATTTTCGAAACAATTTCATTTTAAACTCGATTAATTCCCAGCAGGATGCAGCACTGCTACAAATGGGATAAGGATCCAAAGAACTCGTTTGAGTCTATGCTGAGAGGAACGTCAGATGGGAGCGAAAACTCTGAAGGAAATGGAACATGTGGTGCGAGCTATTTGTGCTGCTACGTGTACGCTTGAAGAGCCGGTCTGTGTCTGAGCTGTAAAATGCCTGGATTCCTGCTGCTACTGCTAGCAGCGAATCTGCAAGTCCATCAAACTGGAAAACACCCTCCATAAAATCAGTTTTTAGTCACGTGAACTCCTCTGGAGCCCTTTCATTGTCAAAACAGCGATTTCTGACTGAGTACACTTTTTGCTGCGAGTGTCAAAGTGAGCATCCAGAGGATTTGTCAAGTCGACAGCAAGCCAGGATCATATACGTAGCAAAACATCCTGTTGCTTCCATAAACTGCTACAAAAACTCTTCATTCAGACCTCCCACCACAGCCCTGCAGCATCCAGAACATGAAGCCTCATCTCTACCGCGGTACCAAAGACCAAAAAGGATTCCGACTGGAGTTTAAAAGGAAAAGTGTTTATTTTTTTGTGCCTGATTGTACAGAAGCTTATATTGTTAAAGGAGACTTGTTGTTGTTCATGCTGCTTTTGTCGTCTGTTCTGGCCTCTTTGTCCCCCCCACCCCTCCCAGTGCACCACTGTGAAAGAGGCCCAATGTTTTAAAAAGCCATACGTTTTTGAAGAGGTCAGATTATTGGAGGTACTGCAGATGGACGCTTGTGGGGGCTTGTTGTTAAATTTGTTCTCCTCGAATGCCTTTTGTCACCCAGCCCGGCGACCAGAAGCATCTCAGCATTAAAGCCCACGAGGTCTGGCAGAGTCATCCATGTCAGCTGCCTAAAAATACGTCCGATTTGACACCATTATTTTATTTATGCTTTTTCTGGTGAGGCTTTAACGGTGAGATGCTTTTCCAAACCGTGGCTGATGCACGTCGACCCAAGACAGCAGAATGTGTTAAAGTTCAGAGGGGAAAGGAAAAGCAGAGCATTTGCACAAATCACATATCAAAATTATTTTGTTGGGTTTCTTTCTTTCTTTCTTTTTTTTTTTTCATCGGTAAAAGTCATTGTCACCGTTCACATCTGAAACCATTTGAATCACATTTTTTGCTGTTACATTGTTATTTTATTACCCCCCCCCCATGTGTTTGTGTCTCCACCTGCTGTTGGAGGTGTGTGTGTGTGTTTTGTTTTTTCTCTGTTGGTTGAAGGAGGTACGGTCCATCATAGCTGTTTGTACGTATTTGAATGATCTCAGCGACCACCCGGCGCTACCACTGTTACTCATATCAGCGTATGTGCAAGCGGGATGTTGGTGTGATATTAAATACTTAGCAGGGCCAAAAAGGATGTTTCACTAAGATCACTACCACACTGTTGCTCCACATTTTACACAGTTGACGAGTTGACCTCATATCTGCTAATAAAATATCTACCTTGATGCACCGCTGGGCTCACAGTGGATAAAGGAAACTATAACTTAATGCAGTTTTATAGAAGTATTCAATAGATTACAAAGTTTCTGTGAACACAGTTGTGTTATTCCACCATGTGTGCGTGTTGTGTTAAACTTGATCTTGATTTAACAGAAAGTCTTAGTCATGATTTCTGAGCGTGGAGCTGGAAAGACCAGGATGTAACCAGCAGAGCAAGTTGCATTATGGGAGCTGTAGGAACCACTTTAAGCCTGGATATCCATGCCTCTGCAGTGTTTTACTGGGACTCCTTGTCTGGCTGCTTTTTGAACTCAATGTGGATGTTTGATTCACCATCATCCCTTTAATACCTTTTTAAAAAAGGGACTAAAATACGCTGATTTCTTTTAGTTTCCTTTTTTTAAACTAGAAGATGGCTTTAAAAACACTTGGCGCCTCGCACAGCGGCATCTTTTCCCTGACCCTCCACCTCTTTCCAGCTCCACGACCCTCCTCCTGTAACACGCATTCAGTTGATCTCATGTCAAAACATTCCCTCTGTGTGAGATCTTGTAAGAGCCAGTGCACATCACAACTTGAAACATTGTTTGCTACACACACTAGCACATGACTGATGTTTTAAAATAGACGTAATAAAGTCCTCTAATGCTGGGGAAACAGCCCACATCACAGCGAGCTGAGGTAGCCGCGTGGGTGATGTTACGACATTCGTTTTTGTTCAGGTTGAACCCGTACACTCGTGTGAAGCAATAATCATCATTGTCACGATATGAGTCTGCTAAAAGGTCGGGTGATGTCATCACTGACCCCACCTCCCGACACCACATCGACCCAGATAACAGAGCAACCACTGAGCTCGGTGTTTGGGGGCATCGGCACTGCACACTGCAGAGTCTCTGCATGATATTTTGGAGCAGGAAACGCGAGTCCTTCCTGACCAAAGGCAAGTCACACAAAGCCCAAAACACCTGCAGTGTCAGTGCGGTTCTGATGCCCCCTTGTGCTCAATGTGGACACCAGTAGTGTCCAAAATAATGGTGTCACATGTTGGAGGTGGTGGTTACGTGGCTCCAAAACAGCCTCCCTTTTCAAAGTAGCAGAGTTGATTACATAACAGTCTCTGTTAGACTGAAACAAAAGTAATAACAGCTCGAAATTTATTCTCCACACTCCACCACAGCTGTGACGGCTGGAAATGTTTTTAATTAATGTAATCCACTACTAAGTGGCACCAAAGTGATCTTTTCACAGCTGTTTTGTGCCCGGGGTTCCAAACAGCCGTGAAAAGAGCTTGTGTGAAAACACGGACCAGATCCTATAAAGCGCTGCAGCACTGACGTCATCTTGGAGGCCTTGTATCTGAGTTCAGATACAAGGCCTGGAGGGGTTTTGTAGAAGCAGATGATTACTCAGTCACATAACTCAGAGTGGTGACTTAATATTTCATCGCGCCTCAAGCCCCCGTGATCTTCACGTCCAAATGAGAACAAATGCCGTCAGGAATACTGGTCATGTCCATCCACTGAGGCATGAGCATGAGTGGAAATTGGTACTAAAGATCAAACCACTTGTTTAAGTTGAAAAGTAAGATCAGAGCTGGAGGCTGATGACTTCAGTGCCAAGGTGCTCTTTCAAAATAAAAGTTTGCAGACTTGCATGAAGTTACAAAACCCCTGATCGGGAGTTCAGATTGAAATGTCAGCTGCCAGTGTCGTGCAGCCTGTCAATCGGAGCCCATCAGAAAGATGCGGGGATGCATGTCAGCGCTCAGTTTGACTTCATGTTTGTTCCCTCCTCATCAGTAAGTTGTGCTGCACCTGAGCATTACTACATAATTTCTTCTGTTATCTGATGCTGTTTGTCTGTCCTCTACTGTCTGTAAACCTGTCTTATAGCTGAAGATGCTGTTCTATTTACGAAATAAAAACCTTTTTAAAGAAACTGGTCTGTGGCCTCCACTCCTTTAAAAACAGTCGTGGGAAGTTGGACCCTCACCAAAGGCAAGTGGAGCAGCTTACCACTGATAACGCTCCATGGAGTTAATGAGGGAGAGGCGGCACAAGACGTGCAGCACATAGCTGAGAGGAATGAACACAGACTCCACCTACATGAAGATCCATGAACATGCTGGGATACTGTCCATTTTTATTGCTTTCATCAATAATGTGAAGTGCTGCAGTCGTAAAAAGAAATTCCCTCAGTGTGAGAATTTTTAGGCAGAAAACCAGAGTTTAGTGCAACCTTTCAGTTAGTGTTCATGTCCTCATGTCACATCCTAGTAAGCTACACTCTACGCCCTACTATTGTGTTGGTCCCCCTTTTGTTCTCAAAACATCCCCAACCCTTTAAGGCAGGGGTGCCCAATCCCGGTCCTCGAGAGCTACCGTCCTGCAGCTTTTAGATGCATCCTTGTTCCCACACACCCGAATCAAACGAATGGCTTGTTATCAGGCCTTTGCCAAACATGATGGCATGCTGAAGAGGTAATCAAACCATTTGATTCAGCTGTGTTGGAGTAGGGATGCATCTAAAAGCTGCAGGACAGTAGCTCTCGAGGACTGGGATTGGGCAGCCCTGCTTTAACCCTCCTGCCATCTAAGGCATGGACTCCACTAGACCCTTGAAGCCGTACTGTGGTATCTACAACCCTAACCCTTACTGACAGGGGTGTGGTCCTACTGACTGACAGTTTGTCCCAAATAATGCCTGCTAGACCTGGTCTGCTATGAATCACCACACTGGACCTCTTATGTGTGCATCCATGCTGTTGGAGTGTATTAGTAGTACAGATCATTTCAGAAGTGCTCTGGTTCATTGCTTAACACCAATTGGTTCTTAGTTTATAAATACCAGTCTTCTAACCAAGCTAAGTAGGTTAGCTGAGAATATAGCAAACCATCCTACCATCCGTGTAAGTCAACTGCTAGCATCAAAAACAAGCGCCAGCACTGAAGCTTCAAAATGCAGGGGCCCACACTGAGTGAGATCACCATGATTTAAACGAGGTAGTCACCAACCCATTTCCTTTACTGTGAGCACAAACACACGCCTTTAAGTTTCCGGCTGTTCTGTGTTTAACAGGCTTAACAAGCTTAACGGAGTGTGTTGAACAAACAGTTTCAGCGAGTGAGAAGTGCTGCAGTGGCTGCACCTGTAAAAGCAGGTGCACGTGGACCGTCTCAGCTGTTTCCAGCGTGAGGCAGCGATGCTCACGGAGCGTGAAGCCCGAGTCACAGTCGCGTGGATGAAGTTAAGATCCTCGGTGAAGCAGGCATTTTCACATCCCGTCACACAGCATTTAGGGCTCGGCACAGGCGCGCAGCTGTTCCCATTAGTCACACTGAGCTCTGAGGGAGGCGACGCCAGGACACGACAGCCAAGTACTCAAAACACAGGCGCATCAGTGACCACACGGGACAGTTTATACTTTAAAAAAAATTTATTACAGAATTTGACTAGTTTATTATTTTACACCTACAAACAATCCAGGAAATGTGTTCATACTGACAGTTTTAGTCTACAAGATCTCAAAGCACACCGGTTAGTGAGAAGAGAGCGATCCACTTCACCGCCGTGTCTGTGGCAGATCACTCCCTCACTGGATTTACGCGGATGCAAACCATCTGTCCGCCAAAATCTCTCCGTGACTGACATTTCATCCTTCAGGAGCTACTCTGAACCGAGAGACAAGTGCGTGCAGAAATGCTGCACATGAGACTGACTCGTCACAGAATGCACTCTGGAGTGCTTGCAGCAGCAGAGTGGAGGGTTAAAGGAGACCTGTGGTTTTTTGTTTTAACTGTGACAGAGAGGTAATGTGAGTGTGAATAATGGAGAGTTTGGAGTCAGTCTGGAAGCACAGAGTGGCCAGATTTTAATTAATAAAAACAACTTGTGCTCACGTTGTCAACTTGACGCAACCTTTCCTGTACAGCGATGCTCTTTCACCCCTCCCTGAAAAGCCCAGACTGAAGCAAAGAGCCTCTGATCAAAGAGTAATCTGGCTCGAGTGGTAGCTTTTGGTGCCAATTCAGGGAACCGACACGTGTTTGATGACTCAGCAGCAACTGTATAAGTCGGCGCTTGTAACAAGCCTCCTCAGAGGAGTTTAAGCCATTAATGAGAAAGCTGTTAATGTGCCCTGACATGAGCTGAACTTGTCAAAGTTAGGAGGGTTTAATCTGCTGCGATGGCGAGAATGCCAGAGCAGAAATTCAAGAGAAAAGCTCCCCACTCTCTTGTTGCTACAGTAAGGCGTTTCTTTCCTAAACGTGACCAAAATGCCACTGAGAGCTGTAGACATAGATGGGTCTCTGTGGCGTTGCAATCAACCCCCTAGCCTGTGTCTAATGTTCAAACTGCCTTTTTTCCTTGCTCATTCATTAGTTTTCATCTTAATTACAATTAAAGATCAATAGAAATCCCCAGCAAAGATATTTTTGTGGTAAATAATCAGATACATTTTGAAAATCAACATTTTTTAGAATTACTGATGATTATTCTGTTGTAACCCTACTTTCTTCAAGAATCCTTCAGACAGTACTTGATAGAAAAAAAGTTTCATTTCTCATCTAGAAATTGTTTAAATACACAAACAGTAAAGAAACTAAAGGCAGGACTCAGTCTAACACAAAGACAGGATTTCGCCAGGTTTAACCATCACTGCAGCTCCGACAAGCCTGATGCCGACCAAAACTGAAAGGAGAGATTATTCACTGACAGCAGAAAGAGAATATGGATCTGCCGATGAAGACGAATCCAGATCAGCTTCTAGTGGAATAAAACACTTGTTTGTTCTCTCTGCGTAAATCACACTTGCTGCACTGCAGACTGTATATTTCCCCGATGGTCATCCACACCCCCACTGCGGTGGTTTCATGCCCCCCGAAACTTTGAGAAATGCTGACATGTAGGCAAGAATTGCTGAGTAAAAAGAGCCGCTGTACATGATAGAAGTTCTAGCAGGAAGACATCCAGCAAACACGCGGCTGCCACATCTGTCTCAGACTGACCCAAACTCTTTGTCGAACAGATGATTTAAATCCTGCGGGAGGCCAAAACTCGCTCACACTGAGTAGCTTTCCCTCCAGCTCTTACACGTGCTAGCCCTCTTCTACCTTATAGTGTAACTGTGGCTTTGATGCATTTACTGGCTGCCTCCCTCCGCCTGCTCTTCCTCCTCCACCAGCTCAACCAGAGGAGCGTGGCGGTTGGCCTGAGAGCCCTCGCTGAAGAGAACCTTCTTGATCACACCTGACTTTGGCGCCCGGATCGTATGCTGCAGAGGCAAATACAAGAGGTGACATCATTAGAAACTCAGCAGTGTGTGTGCACCGGCTAAAAGGCAAGAATCATCAGTGCCTCACCTCCATCTTCATGGCTATCATGACCATCAGTGGGTCTCCCACAGTCACCTTATCTCCGGCCTTCACCAGCACCTGGACGCAGGAAAAGCGACTCGTTCACGGGGGTTTCATCACAAACCAATACAATAAAACCAAACCAATAATGTCACTCAGAAATAAAAAAGAAGTAACACACACAGTATTATGACTTCTTCCTTCATGCCTCCTCCACAGTCTCATTGCTCCGGCTGCTAGTGGATTTGAGGGAAGCAGTGATACACCCAGACATGTCCCCATAAATGTAATAAACAAGGCAGAGGGATTTACTATCACTCTCCAGTCATCACCAGTTGCTTAACTTGTTGTTACGCAGCATTTGCATCTGTCTGAGCAGCGAGTTAACTGGAGGCATGAAGCAGAGACATTTTGTTGTCTGCTGATTTACAGCAGGTGTTAAAAGAAGCTGACAACATTAAGCAAAGTTTATTTGTTACCTTGTTACGAGTTGAAGAAAAACTGGGGCACCAACTATGATTGTCCTTATTTTCTGCTGTACATGATTACATGCTGATGCTGTTCAAGCAGCAGCCAATCAAAAGAAGCTAAAGCTACTTTTTCAAACAGTGGATAAACTAAAGAGATATACCAAGGCCCAGAAAGATATATAAGAGCTCCAAACTATGGATCATGCAAAGATATTCTAGCAGAGTCCCAGATAAAAACATACCAAAATAGAAATGTGATTATTTTCCTATCAAAATTAAGCTAAACAGACTGATACTATTCTAACCTTTGTATAACAAAGGTTAGAGGTGGGATCACTTACCATCAAGACTAGGAAATATTCACCCTCTGAAGCATGTAAAGCTAATAATAAACAGACTGAACCTTTATGTCTTACAGCTGTCTAATTATAGTAATAAGCCTAAAAGGCACCCGTACAGTAGATGTGGGTCTGTTTTTTAAATACCAGAAAGTACTAAGGTCTAAACCACTTACTGGCTCAACATTTATCCTCACAGCCATGACAGTGGCATCGATCTTTTAGCTAATAATCAGCAAAAAGAACAGAAAAAGGTCAGCATATTTCCTAAAATGCCAAACTTTTGTACCCTGACTGGATGGAGTTTGTGGCCTTAGGCTCCATTAATCAATCAGAATCCTTTATTTATCCCTAAGGAAATTATGTCATGGACTTTGGGTTACTGATGTCAGAATAGTGGCTGTGATTTATGTATTTTTATGTGTCCAGATACAAAATAAAGCTGAAGAACAAAATAAGAGTTGTATGGAATTTTTCATCCGCACTGTGTGTGTCATTTCCACATATTAGGACATCTCGTGTCATACTGGTTCAGCACTGACACATTCAGAGTGGATTGTCTGACTGTAACGTCTAAAATTATATACATAAGCTCTTCAGCTTGAAATTGACTAAGACTGCATTTTAACTGGTAAAGAAACTTTACTGGACAGCTTTTTACCCTCACAAAAAACTATTAAAACTTCAAATTGAACCTTAAAAGTAAACTTTAGAAAAACACGAATATCCTTTACGCAAAAGAAAAAGTCACCTTCTCTATAGTTCCAGTCATGGGGGCCACGGCTCCACCCTGAGCTCCTGAACCGCCAACACCAGCCCGATACTTTGGCACGGGAACAGACACCTGAGAGCTTCCCTCCTGCAGCGCAGAGGTAAAGACGTCAGAAAGTGCAGTGACAGCTCGCTGACAGCTGAGGTGAGAGGACCGAAACAGGTTTTTAATTCCCCCTGATGTCAGACTGTCAGAGTGATGTCAGAGTGGAAACAGAGACAGTTTGCGCGGCGACAGGTGAGACGAAAACATCTTTGAACCTCCAGAAGGAGCTTTTGCATAGGCAAAAAAAAAAAAAAGGTTAAAAAGGCCACTTTTTCCTCCACTTCTGTTTAAGTCACCTTTCTATGTTTGGGAAACATTTAAGCCTTGTTTGGGCCATCAGTCACCAAACATCAAAGAGTTTTGCATAGAAGACACTGCAAGCAACATGATAGATGATAACTTGGATTTCAGTGGTTTTGAGGAATATGCAAAATAGAAATCTGTATACTGTGCATGTCAGATACATACAGTGGAGAACAGGTGCACCGTGTTGTCCAGGATCACAAGTTTAGGGCGGGACTCGACGCCATTGACAGTACAGTGCAGGAACGATGCCCCGCCTTCCATCTCCACCTCCCCTGTGACGTGATTCACCTCGTCACCAATCTTAAAAAGAAAGCAGAAGTGATGCATTTGTGGGAAGTAACCTGGGTTTGTTTAAGCACCGACATCCCACATTGTACTACTGTTATTTACAAATTTGGAAAAAGAAAACTTTTAATAAATACCCAAAATATACAGATTATAAAACAGAATTAAGTATTTGTAGCAAAAAAAAAGTTAACTTTCTCAGCTCACCTGCATACTGTAGCTCCCATCCTGGTTGTACATGATGACCACATCAACTTCTAGATGGAAAAAAACAAAACAAAAGTGTTAAAAACAGTCTTGAGATAGAGGCGGGAGAGACTGACACAAAGTCTTTAGTTAAATACGTCCCTCAGCTGCTGCTGTCTGCTTTATTTTTAGCTTTTCGGTGACACTTTTTAATAGAAACACTGAATAATGAATACAAGTTCCTTAGTAACGTGTCACAGACCAGACAGGCTTTAATTTAATTTTTTACACAATCATTAAATCGGATTATGAGTCAGTCCCAACTGTCCTCGACTACAAATTAACACATTTCTACAATTTCATTCATTCCTGTCGTTCTTTAGATTTAAAACCTCCAAAAACAGTCCAGTGACTAAAACCCATAGCCTGAAGTCACCACACGCACATGCTTATACACGTGTATCTGTATCAACTGCATAAAGACGAATCAGAAGCAAAAAGCGTAACTAATAAAAATCACTCTTTTTATATCAGTTTTGTTGATTAGATTTCCATTTACTTGCACACACATTTAAACACAGATCATTGTTTAATCTAATGATCATAAATAATTGAAAAGCTTAAAAGTTCTGTTAAATAAGGGAAACTGGACAAAGATGTTCATGCTTACATGCCCCCAGTCTGAACCAGTGTGTATCCATGCCCACATGTGGAGCACATATATGCATTTCTGCAAATATAAAATCCAGATCTCTGTTGAGCCAAGAACTAATTAATAACTGTTGTCGATCTTTCCGAGTTGACTTTTAATAACTACTCCTTGACTTTCAGACCCCACTCCTACAAGACTCAAAGAAATTTCACCATTAATTAAATGTGACTAATTTACATTCACCTTTTATGTACCACAGGCCTTTAGGCTGGTAGTAGTTAAACCATTACTTAAAAAGTCATCACGTGATCCAGCTGTGTTAGCTAATTACAGGCCAATGTCCAACCTTCCCTTTATCTCAAAAATCCTTGAAAGAGTAGTTGTCAAGCAGCTAACAGACCATCTGCAGAGGCGCAGTCAGGTTTCAGAGCTCATCACAGCACAGAAGCAGCTTCTTCCTGTGGCCTCTGACAGCAGAAACACCTCAGTGCAGCACTTGACACCTCTGATAACAACATTTTACTAGACTAGTCTAGACTATGCTGTTAGTGTTAAAGGAAACATGCTGCACTGCTTATACAGTAACTACAGTTAGGTTCATAAATATTTGGACAGAGATAACGTTTACTAATTTTGGTTCTGTACATCGCAACTAATTACCAATAATTCAATGGGTTAAACAAAAAGATTGCATAAAAAAAATCTGAGGAACTAAAGCAATTTTTAAACATAATTTCTTTCTTTTAAGGGGCTCAAAAGTAACTGAACAAATTAAATAACTGAAAATAAGTCCTGAACTCATGGACTTCACCAGATGCTTGGTTTCCTCCTTTTTAATACTCTGTCAAGTCTTTACTGCAGCAG